TCACATTAGTAGTCTTTCATTTACTACAAAGAGAATGACCTCCCTGACAATGTGTCAGTGATGTGGCTTTGCACATGATAAGCAAGTGTTCTCTGGAGTTACATTCTATACCCAAGTATTAAAAAAGTCAAAATTATATCATATTTAAACTCTAAAATCCTCCTTTATGTCACGATTCATAATACATCCTGCAAAGTTCATGTCATGTTCTGTTCTGAAAACATGAACATTCTTTCTGAAACAGGATGTTCAATTCAACACAATGTTACAAATTCTTGGAGAATAACATAATGGGTCTCATCTTCTGAAATGGACACTGGATGGCATTTCAAAGAGTTTAATAGACAATCTTACAAGATGAGGACTGCCAACTTTGTTTAGAAATATGGTCTTGTACTTGTATATTGCATTTCTGCAACATTTTGCATAGACCTTTTTGTGCTCCATTCACTGATATTCACAAGTTTTTATGTCCTTCAGCGTAAGTACATGTATTATTTATGCTGCATATATCTTTGCTTATTCTCATTAAAATATTTTAAACACTATACTAACTTATATATGCATTCATATTAGGTAATGAGTCATCATACACAGTTCTATCATGGTCCATTTAACCAAGTCCAACAAGTATACATTTGCAAACTTGTCAAGCATTTCTGGGAGGGGGAAAAGTTTCTGGAAGTGCTTTTTAAAAAGGAGACATCTACTTAAATTTCCATAGCCACTATTCAACAGTCCCTCAAAAACACTGTGGCAGTTACATTCTGCCTAACTACATACAAAAACCTAGGAAAGCCAGTATTTCTACACCACTGCCTGACCTGGATGTGATGGTGCTCTTTAATCTCCCCCAGTTGTGCAAGGTGGAGTGCCTTTCTTTTATGTGCATTTTTTCACTTACTGGGGTCAAGCTTCTCCTTCTATGTTTATGAGTTGCTCGGATTTCTCTTTAAAGAACTGCATTTTTGGTCTACTTGACCTTTGCCTTTAATAGTGGATCTTCTTAATTTCTTGGAATTAATTAAATTTACTGACATTTATTGAGCTCCCTACTGTGGACCAAGCTCTGTCAGCTGGAAGGTGTAATTGTTACACAGAGAATTTAGAATCAATGGCAAATATAGATGGGGCAATAAATTACTGTAACAAAGTACATGGAGGTAGGAACTGGGTCTACACAAAGCAGCAAAGGCATAAATGCAGATACTATCCATCACGTCAAAATGATTGGATTGTACACAAGGTTTCCAATGGGAGAAAACTGTCTGAAAGGAGGCTAGGCAGACAGGGAAACCAATTTATAAAAGTGATTACCTGACATTCTTATGAATTTGGGCTTTATCCTTTAGCCAAGGGAGAAACAATCTTTAAAGGGTCATTTCAACAGTGGAGCAAGAGCTTTGGATGATGGGTAAGGAACTCTAAGATTAGGAAAATGGTAAGGAGGCTACTTGGTGGGCAAGAACGAGAGCCCAAGATGGCACACTATCAACACAATCAAGTGAACTTGGTCATCAAATGCACATGATTAGCTTCCTTCTCCTGGAACTTCTATCAGCATTCATCTCTGTGATATCATTCACTGCTTTATGTGAAGCCATGCCAGAGCCAGCCCACTCTATCAGAAGAGGGCTTCTATTCCAGGTTGCATCAAAACATAGTGTTCCACTCAAAATAAACCTAAGCCATGACGTTTCTTTACTTTCACTGTGTTCACATTCATGCCAAAGTAAACCCAGTATTTGTTAATTGAGTGCTTTTACTACTTGGTTACTATAAACTTCAAGGAGTTTATTGCAAAGTGGTTTCTTTTCATATTGAAAAATCCAGTGATTGGAGTAATTAGAAATGATGGTGTCTTCACTGGAGTAGAAATAACTCACTGACTAATTTTTAAAGGATCCACACTTCTCACTCTTAACAGTATTTGCATTTTTCAAACACTAAGCCCTATTCTACTACTATTAGTAATACATCCTCAACAAAGATGTATTAATAAGGGCACAGACATGCATCCTGCTATTGAACTCCTGATACTATGAATAACAGTGAATTTTGCTCATATTTTTGATACCTCTCTTTTTAGATTTGTGTTTCGGTTTCAACTCTTATATCTGCTACCAAACATCCAGCCTTCTGGTGCCAGGAACACAGAAGTGAACACTGCCTAGGGGCTAATATTTCACCTCCTTATGTTCGATTGCTTTTTAATATGGGGTTTAGTGTTATGAACAGTGAAATAATAGAAAGATCAAAAATAAGGATGAATTTTTACTTTGTGTATCCTGTTTGGCAAAGAAACCAAGAACAAGTCAGGGTATCCACAAATAGTTTCAGTGACTACTTTGGTTGTTTTGCTTTTTTATTTATTTGCTTTGTTTTTAACTCAAAACGATTTTTCAGCCCTCTCATTTCACCCTTCTCCAGGAAGAATTTATACCAGTGGCAAAGTCCCTTTTCACCCAGTTATATTTCTCAGAAGAATAATGACAAAGCCTATTAAAGGAGTGAAGTATGAGAGACAGCCCTAACATGGTGCTGCAGCGTGCTGCAGGGCAGGAACGGGGTGCCTACTGGGTTTCAGCATGGGAGACACTTCAGAGACGGCACAATGAGCAAGAGGATGCCCAAGGTGAGTCTGAAATACAGGCAGCAGCTGTAACCTGAGTTCAAGGAAACATAAGCCCGGGAACTCCATTGGGTAAAGAGGGCAAGGGCAGTTGGCTCAGTGCAAACATAAGTGTGTGGTTGGACAGCCAGCCCAGAGTGCAGTCCAGGGGCCCACGATAGGCAGGTGGAGTCATACTTGTCAGACTCTGTAACTGCTATGCAGCACTTGGATCCTTTTCTTCTGCTTTGTCAAGTGATAGTTTTGGAGGGTGTATATAAAGCATGTTTGTTTTCAGCTATTGGTCAACTCAGTACTTAAGAATTTTTGTTGGGGGTCTCCCCTGGAGCTGCTCTCTCCAGACCCCACCCTCAGAAAGCCTACCAAAGGTCACCCCTCCCCTAGAGTTGCTCAAGACCACAACTACAGGATATTTAAGACCTGGTAACCAGACCTGCCATGTGCTCTCCCTCCTGCTTTCCCCAGAATCACCCAGGAGATGCTTTGCTCTGTTTATTAAACCTGGACTTATTAATTTGGCTTTATTGCATCAGAGATGGAGGACACCCAATAACCAGGGATCAATACTTACCAATTTTCATACTAAAAGGTTTTCCAAGAGGTACAATAATTACATCACAAAAGAAATGAAAGAAACTCTGAGTATCATTTAGTCAAGGAAGGGGGATTTTATTTATTTTTTCTTTCATTTTACTTTATTAAGAAATTTTCTACTCACTCCACATACTATCCACAGATTCCCCCTTCTCCCTCCTCCCACCACCCAGCCCTCTTTCCCAAGCCACCTGGCATCCCCACTCCCTCCCAATCAAGGTCTCCCATGGGGAGTCAGCAGAGTCCAGCACACTGAGCCTAGGCAGGTCCAAGCCCCTTCCCACTGCACCAAGGCTGGGCAAGGTGTCACACCACAGGCACCGGGTTCCAGAAGCCTGCCCATAGACCAGGGACAGATCCTGATCCCCATGTCTGGGTGCCCCCGAAACAGTTCGAGCCAAACAACTGTCTTCTATATCCAGAGGGCCTCCTAGTCCAGTCCCATGGGGGCTCCACAGCCACCAGTCTACAGTTCATGGGCTTCCACTAGTGTGGCCGGTCATCTCTGCACGTTCTCCCATCATGATCTCCACGTCCCTCACCTGCAGTATCTTTCCTCTCTCTCATCAATTGGATTCCCTGAGCTCAGCCTGGTGCCTGGCTATGGATCTCTGTATCTGTCTCCATCAGTCATTGGACAAAAGCTCTGTGATAACAGCTAGGTTATTTGCTAGACTGGTCACCAGAGTAGACCGGTCCAGGTACCCTCTGGACCACTGCCAGCAGACCAAGGTGGGGTCGACCTTGTGGATTCCTGAGAGCCTCCCCAGCACCCTGCCTCTTCCTATTCCCATGATGTCCTCATCTATCATGGTATCTTCCTCCCTGCCCTCCCACTCTGTCCCTGTTCCGGCTTAATCCTCCCTTTTCCCTATGCTCTCATTCCCCACTCCTCGCCCTCTGCCACCCCCCACACATACCCAGTCCACTCACACTTCTCCTTCACAGGGTCATCCATATGTCCCTCCTAGGGTCTTTCCCTGTTAGCTAGCCTCTCTGGAGTTGTGGGTTGCAGTCTGGCCATCCCTTCCGTCGCATTTAGTATCCACTTATGGGTGAGTACATACTATGTCCTTCTGAGTCTGGGTTTCCTCACTCAAGATGATATTTTCTAGTTCCATCCATTTGCCTGCAAATTTCATGATATCATTGTTTTTACTGCTGAGTAGTACTCCATTGTGTATATATGCCATATTTTCTTTATCCATTCTTCAGTTGAGGGGCATCTAGGTTGTTTCCAGGTTCTTGCTATTACAAATAATGCTGCTATGAACATAGTTGAGCATGTGTCCTTGTGGTAAGATTGAGCATTCCTTGGGTATATGCCCAAACTGGGTCTTGAGGAAGACTTATTCCCAATTTTCTGAGAAACCGCCATACTGAGGAAAGGGGATTTTAAACAATTCAAGATGGGCAGTTGTCTCTCTAAGCTCAAAGCTTGTTAAACATCCCTTAGGAAAGACTTACCTACCAATTCTTATTCTGGGTTCCCATTTACACAAGCTTGAGACAGAACGCAGTTTCCCATTCATGTGCCCAAAAACTATTGTTCAGACACATTTCTATCATTGGTCTTCCATGAACCAAATTATCTTTCTTTAGTTCAAATTATTTTTTTCAATTTGTCGACTTATATTTATCCAGCAAACTTTTCTTATTTACTAACAAGACATTTCCTGTTACACAGTTCTGGACCTCTTATTTCCAAACAGTAGACAGAAGTTCTCTTTGAGTCACTGGGTAACAATAGCTCATAAGTCTAATGAAGCCATGGTGATGGAATTTCTAAGGTCTGGCTGGAAATCAGTAGGTCAGGGAAAATCAAAGGGAAGGTGGGTGAGTGGGCAGAAGAGTGAAGATGCCGTGTGGATGGGCAGCTGAAGACAACCAGAGCACACTGTGAGGGGTAGGTTATGGAAGACACTTGCCAACAGTAGGCCACAGAAACAAAGATTGAAAAGGAAGGAGGCTGAATGTCCCATGACTGTAACTGAAGGAGAATCCAGAACAGTTCTTGTTCAATGAAGACAGTTCGTTCTCTCTTCTCTCTCTCTCTCTCTCTTCTCTCTCTTTTCTCTCTCTCTCTCTCTCTCTCTCTCTCTCTCTCTCTCTCTCTCTCTCTCTCTCTCTCTGACAAAGGTGATCCAAGAGGATACTAACTATATGGATTTCATTTTTCATTTCCACAGATTATATAACAAGAATACATAACAGGAAGATATTAATTTACATCAGCAGTGAAAGGCTTTCTATGAAATTGAGAGAAGCAATTCAGCTTTTGAAGAATTACTAAATAGTTAGAATTTGGAAAAAGAAGAAAAATACTATGAAACCACAATAGACAAGGTACACATCTTTGAAACACTGAATTCTGCCATGTGAATGCATGTAGAAGATATACAGTTACTGTTTTCTTAAAGAAGGAATTATAAGTTGAGGATAAGGCCTCATGAGCCACACAGTTTTATTTCATTGCCTACCCTGAAAATTCCTACTATATGAATGGAGGCAATTTTCAAACCTAGCCCAGTCTTAGCATTCATATCTATAAATCAGTTAAAATAGTACATACCTTATAGGGATCTGTGGTGAACTAAATGAACAAATGTGTGTAAAGACCTTTAAACAATGCAAAACATATAGACACAGCACAGCATTCAATAAGATGTGATAAGATGAAGGTAGGCTGTATGTTACATGGTCTAAAGAAACAATGCTTACCCTTGCCTTCTCCATTCTCCTCTTTATTTCTGTAACCTAAATAAAGGGTTAGGCACCATGAAATGAACATTCTAGCTCCTTCCCACTGACCCAATATGTGAATGTCCTTAATTTAAATCCACAGTTCTCCATCAATATACCAGGTGCATCAAAATCTGATCTTTTGCACACACACCCTCACTCTCTCTCCCCACTACCTATTTTCTCTAATACTTTTTTCAAAATTCTGTTCTTTTGTCTCCGATTCCTCCTCCTTTTCCCCAGCCTCTTATCTCACTCCCCAGCACCCTTCATCCTCCATCCACTGGAACAAAGATACCCTACACTATATGTTTGGCAACAGCTCAAATCTGTTTACTCCAGCTAAAATGACATAAAAGTATTTCTGTGTCGTAGAAGTAAGGACTGTGTTCAGCAGAGCACCTTGGTTCTGAGAAGGGGAACTGTCTCTCATTCTCCTCTATTTCAAAGATGTCTGGAGAAGTATACATAACACTTTGGCTGAGAAGCACAACTCACAGAAGTAGAATGAGTCCTGAAACTATGTATGAACACGTGTGTGGTGACATATTGTGTACCCTAATAAAATTTGCCTGAAGATCAAAGGACAGAACAAGCCACTCGATTAAACATAGAGGCCAGGCAGTGGTCCTTTAATCCTTTAATCCTAGCACTTGGGAGGCAGAGATCTGTCTGGGTCTCTGTGAGTTCAAAGCCACCCTGGACTACATGAGATTGACTCAGTCTAGGAGAGAAACAGAGCCAGGCAGTGGTGGCACACACGTTTAATCCCAGAATTTGGGAATCGCACACCTTTAATCTCAGCACTTGAGATCTCATGCCTTTGCTCCCAGTACTTGTGAGACACACACACCTCAGCACTAAGAAGGAAGTGATGTGGCTGGACAGAGAGAAAGGTTTATAAGGCATAAGGAGACAGGAACTAAAGGCCTTTTCCACTGAAGCCCTTTTTTAGCTGAGGACTCAGAGGCTTTCAAACAGGATTCTTGGAGTTGGTGAGGTGAGACATGGCAGTAGCTTGTTCCTTTGTCTCTCTGATCTTTCAGAATTTACCCCAATATCTGGCTTCAGGTTTATTATTATAAGACCATTTAGAAATTCGTGTTACACATGTGTAAAGGAATCAATAGAGCAGAAGACTACATGATGTATATAATACAATGTAGGTTGTGATAAAAGGACTTTTTTTTTTTTTTTGAGACAGGGTATCTCTGTAGTTTTGGTGTCTGTCCTGGATCTCACTCACTCTGCAGACCAGACTGGCCTGAAACTCACAGAAATCTGCCTGACTCTGCCTACCTAGCACTGGGATTAAAGGTGTGCACCACCACCGCCTGGCAAAAGGACATATTTTATTGCAACCATTTGAAGTTAAAGGATGCATGGATAGAGCATTAGAAAGCTATTTACTATGCATCAAAATCATGTAATAACAAGCTAGGCTGTGAGTTATGTTATGAAGCTTATGTTACTCAGATATTAAAAACAAGGGGTTTTTATAGGTTACAGGTTTCTCACATTTCATTAAAATGTTTTTTGGGATCTTTGAGGGTTTTTTGGCAAAAAGTTTATTTTAAAATACTCCTTTACTCAGATAGTGGTCTCTGCTTATTTTGACCTTGTGTAGAGCTTAGTAAGTTCAATTCCCTAGTTTTTATATGTATATAAATTGAAGACCATCATTATTATTAGGAAAACATATTCACTTGTTTTTGTTTTTGTTGTTCACACAATACTTGAGAAGACACTAATTAGTAATGTAAAAGAAATATAACCTTTAATACTATGCTGAATTCCAAAAGAAATACTACTTCTTTTAGATTAAGAATGATCTTTTTAATTTCTTAAGGTCTTGTGCAAGGAAAAAATAAATGACAAAAACTATTTTAGGCTATGTATACTACTATACTTTAAGGCTATCTTAAATAATATGTATTTTTGATGACTTTAATATAAATTTTAAGATTTCACAAACTGTTTTTGCTTGAATTATATCACTTTTTTGCAAGTCATATTTTTCTGTATGTCCCTGTGCAAAGATTTACACTTACATATACATTTATTGAGGAAAATAAATGTATCATTATTTTTAAACTTCTCAATACTTCATTGCACTTGATCCAAGCAGGCTTTCATAAATGTACCTTATTACACATTTAATTGTGCAGTGCAGGTAATGAAATATAATACATAACTTCACACTTTTTAAAGTTCACAGTTCAGTCAATTAAGCATATAGTATATAGAGCATCACATATAAATTTAAATAAATAATAATTCATTTTAGGAGGAATTCAACTTTGCACTAAAGAAAAAGGGCTGAAGGTAGAAAGTGGTACCTTCCATGCAGCAGTTATAGTTACATGCTGCCATGCCAGCTTCTTCCCTAAGGAGAATCCAGGCATGCTTAATTATAGAGACATCATTACTTAGAAGAAAAACATGAGTCTTTAATTTCCTTGCTTCTCCTGGACTGAGGCTGTTCGTTCTGCTGAATCTAACAATGTCTGAGAAACACTGAAGCTAAGCTGGTTCTACAGAGAGGCCCAGGTGTTGTTAGGTCAGGAACAATAGTTCCTCCTGGCCGCTCTGATCAGTGTTGCTGCTTTGGCTGCAGATGAGCAGCCGCACAAAATTCACTGCCTCTAATGAACAGAAACACACACACCCCACCCCCAGTAGCAAAATGCTGGTCAAGTGACAGTTTCGTTTGGCGTCTTCTAACTTGGATTTCCAGAGCCTTCTGGGAAGCAAACTATAGAAGCATTACAGCAGCAGTACTTGTTCTCATAGTGAAGAGTCGGTGTCCTGCTAATGTGCTCCACACAGTTTGGAGCACAAGTAACCACACAAGAGTTCAGGTCAGCACTTTGGCTTGCCAGCTAAGATTTGTCTTCCTCCCACTTCCTTCTAATAATAACCTCTTATAGCTACCAGAAATAGCATAAAGAATGTATCTTTCTAAATCCAAGAACTACTCTTGGCCAAAGAGTTGGGAAGCCCAACTTACTTATCCAAGAGAAACACTATATTCTCACTTGGTAATTTCACTTAACTCCCCTCTGTGCTTACAAGAAGAGCTAGAGTAATGCTTTCTTCAATCTTCAATATCCGTATCTTTAGGGGAACCAAGTTCCAACTCAGTATCTGTTATTTGACTGACCTAGGTGTTTACATTTGTACCAAACAACACCATGGGCTTCCATATTTTCAAACTTTTTACTACCCAAATTATAAAACTGAGCGAAATTCAGTGTGCGGCTTTATTCATAAAAATGCAACTCATAAGGACAAAGGTTAGTGTTGGTTGGGTACAAAGTACAGGGATTTCTCTTCTGATTGCAAAGTTTAGTCAATCTACTAAGCATCCTGCTAGTAGATCAACAAGGGAAGCAAATACGTGTGATAAGCATCCTGTGCTGTTTTCTTTAATGTCCTGACATTGGAAAATGGCACTAAATTTAATTCTTTTACAACCCTCACATCTAAGGCCTTATTGTAAGTCAGCCACTTAAAGTAGTTAACAACCAGCCCAGCACGGTTTACCCTCTGGTGAATGGATATGCAGGCTTTGTCATGCAGTACCTATCACCACAGAGCAGCCTGCCTGAGCACCTGGGCTCTAATTCCAGCCCAGCCATCAATTCCCTATTGGGGAAAGAGAACTTTTCTAACCTGCACGTGGCTCAGAAGAAAAATAGGACTTTTATCAAGCTAGGGGAGTGAGGCTGTTGAAGAAATAACCAAGATAAAGTGGCTAGAACCCAATATAAAATGATTTCACTAAGAAAAAATAAGGAAGTAATTATTGGAATTACTAAGATAGCAACAGAACAATTTTAAGCTGTTCTCATGTTTAACAGGTATCTGCAGCTCCAGTGAGCTAGTGAACTTTAAATAATTGGACATACGGCATTTGTGGGGAGCATCTTTCTTTGTAGGCTTGGAGGATTTGTGAGAATTTGATTGGACTATCTAGTAATGTGTTTTCCAATATCCAATTATTCACTTAAGTATTGAATTGAGCCCTTTTCAAACTTATCATTTCAGCAACTGGACAGTTTCAGCATTTGAACTGTCCAAATTGCAAGGTTTCCATTGATTAATTGTAATGGCAAGATCCATGTTTAAACAATACAAATCAAAATTAAAAGTATGTTATTTCTAAATATTATTAAGGCATCAGAAATTGAAAATGATTCAACTTCAAACATTGTATCAGGTATTTTAAATAGAGAACTCTATTTGCTTCTGGTTTATTTGTACATAATGTGTCTGCTCTCTGGAATGATGTTTGCATTTATATTAAAAATATTGGATAGCCGGGCGTTGGTGGCGCACGCCTTTAATCCCAGCACTTGGGAGGCAGAGCCAGGCGGATCTCTGTGAGTTCGAGGCAAGCCTGGGCTACCAAGTGAGCTCCAGGAAAGGTGCAAAGCTACACAGAGAAACCCTGTCTCAAAAACCAAAAAAAAAAAAAAAAATTGGATATTCTGAATAAAAATATTTTAATGTGGATCCCCACTGAGGATTACCTTATACCTTAGCATTCATATATAATTCATAAATGTAGAGGTTTTCACTAAGCTGCAATCATTTTTAATTTGAAGAATTAAGAAGTTGACTGGCCCTTACATATAATAAACTGCACAGATCTTCAGGTATAGGTCAAGGAATATTCAATCACAAATATGTACCTCAAAAAACCATGGCCCAGGCCCAAAGTTCCACCCTCTTTCAACATTACTATCCAATTACTTCTGTTTTGACCTCTGTCATCATAGATTATTTGTGTCTCTTTAAATCTTCATAGAAAGAGGATCATCTTATTATTTATAAGAGTTATTGACCTAAGTTATGTGTGTCTGGTTTAGTGTTTACCCAAGAGAGAAAAGGAAACTAGCATGGTGGTTACTCTGTTTGCCATACATCAATGAGCAGCAGCAGAATCCCACCAAATATGGTGAATACTATTGGGCGTCAGTGATTAAAAATGCATCAAAATAATCCTAAAGTAAGATTATTAAAACAGTAGTTAACCTTTAATCATGAGTATAACATCCTACAACCATCACACAGTAGTTTCAGGGTTTGCACACATCAACCACTCTTGCACACTCTACATGGTTGGTCTGCAGGAACCATCAGAGTTTTAGGAAGCTCACTACCAGGTTTCTTCATTTGCAGTCTTGGAAACTGCAGCACAGAATGGTAGTGGCCTTATCCTACAGTTAATGTCTGTTTAAAGACAGAGACATGCCTAATATTGTGTCCTCAGATTTTCCTCATATTCTGTTTGCACAATAACATGTAAATAATAAGGCAAAAAAGAAATCTGAGAAAGCACCCTGCCTATCCCCATTCTGTCCTGAAGTATAAATATTCGGAAGCTAGGCTGAAAACAGGAAGCACAAAGCCATGGAGTCATGAAAAAACTCTGAAGAAAATGGCCAAGCAAAATTATTTTTCAAAACCCAATTAGAACTTTTAAAACTTACTATTCAGTAAACTATGCAAATACATCTGTTCCTGTACTTCTAAGTAAGAAAAAAAAATTGAGCCACAAATTTATACAGAAGTGCATGATAATATATATGTAGGTTTTACATAATATTTTAATAAGATGCATTTTAACATAAAAACTTGTTCAAAATTATATCAGGAATGTTTATGGGTGTTTTTGAAAGTTTGTTTGTGAAGTGACTTTTAAGGGTAACTTTATTATAATAAAACAGAACTTGGCTGTCTGTGATGAAATGTAATTTTTCATCCACATTTATCTTTTCTCTCCTGTAAGGAGCACAGCCAGCAGGGAGAGATACTGCCTGGGAGAGACACAGAAGTGGCTGGTGGACTGCTCAGGAGCTCATGAGGCTCACCTAATTCTCCAAATACAACTAAAAATAATAGAAATGTTAATATAATTCCAGTACTTGCTCTTGTCCAATGAGTAATTAGTTTAATTGTCAGATTTCATTGAAAAATGGCCAAAATTAGAACCTAATTATACTGCCATATGTATGTATGTATATGAAGAAAAATAGTTTGTGATAACTAAAACATCTGTTTTAAAATTTAAAGCTCAAATATATTACTAGCCTGCACTTTTATATGAAAATTTCAAAAAGAAATTATAAATGGGACACCCGTGCTTACACTGGCCATTTAAAAGGCTCCTATTATAGATAGATAATTACACTATAGACATTATATTTTATTTTTTTGCTTTTGTTTTTGTTGACCAAGTTCTGGCAGTCCTACCCAATGTTTGCACAAACTAAGCAAGTGCTGGGACACTGAGCTGCATCCTCTGCCCAGTGTTATTTTTGGACAACTGGTAAGACAGAAAGAGTACTGTTTAAGTACAGGATTGTGCAGGCGTTATTTAGAGGATGAAAGACAGTGGTTAGAAATGTTTTTGTGTGTAGCATTTATTGAGTCATAAAATTATTACATGATTTTTTAAAAAAAAATTTGAATCACAGCTTTAAAAAGGATATTAAGACAACTGTTTAAAACAGAACAAAAGCTTATTGTCTTCATTATTTCCTTTCTTCATAAGTTGAAATTTTGACAATTAAAGAGATCACTGCACTGGAATTCAGCATTTAAAAGTTCCATACAGAGACTTTTGTGTTTAAGTACCCTTCAAGAAAGTGGTATCAACGACCAGACTGTGCTCCTGACAACAAAGCCAGCAGCAGGGAAACAGATACCACCCGGCGCCCTGCCCATGCCATCCACCACTCTCTGTATTTACACAGTCACCAGCCTAGTTTTCACCAGGATTCTACGAAGCAAATACAGCTCCCATGCAATACGTATCCTATGCCAAGTCCTAAATTGAACAACAAAAAATGTAAGTTTTCCCACTTGTAATCTTCGGGCAGGCAGGCCAGAGAGTATGAGTAATTTAGCTCCTAAACTAAAATTACTCAACAGAAGAGGAAAACAAAAAACAAATTCTGTGAATCAGTGGAATTCTAGAATGGTAACTATGTTGTGGTCATTTCATAGAAGTGACAGATGTCTTTCGCTGTCCAATAGTAAGAAATCCCCAGTACACTTCAACAAGGAGGAATCCATTCATGAGCTTTGTCCAACTCAAAGCTTTTTCACAGAGGTAAACAATACTTTTTCTACAATGGTCAACCTCAAATAAAATTCTGGCAATGTCTCTGTATCATTTGTGTTTAGTATTTACAATTTAACTTTAAAAAATCCCATTAACATTTTAGTTCCTGTAGGAACTGTAGGAATATTATACATAATATTCATTTTAAGTGGTTTACAATGTTGCACCAGACAGCCAGTAGATGTTACTTTTTATTATAGATAAACTGATTACAATGTATTATATTTGTGATACAGTGTGGTATTGCCACTGCTTTCCAGAAGACTTTGGCCTCAATTAGATAAACCAAGAGAAACCAAGTGACAATCCAAACAGAGATGGGATCACGATTTTCCAAGTGGAGAGGAGTGTTATAAACAGTAAATGCACTTAAATCTCTAAACCTAACTAAGCCCAAGAAGATTCCAACTTCCTTAAAACATGAATCCCAACTTGAAGGACTCTTTTCAAGGTGTATATTTTTCTCTACTTTCTGCCGTTCAGTGACAAAAAAAATAATATTTCTTTCATTTCCTCTGGCCCCCTTCCAATCTGTTTTGTAAACGGATGTTGAAGTGTCATTAGTAAAATATAAATTTGACACTGCCCCTCTCATCTCCTATGCTATATACTCTTGTGACTAACAAGGCTTAAAATCCTTGAATAGTCCAGAAAAGCTAGCAAGGCCTGACCCTACTATCCTATTGACTATGGACTGAGAGCGTCATTCAAAGAGGACGCCTGACAGTGGCAGAACAGGTTGTGCCGTGTTCTGTAGAGACTTCTGACTGTTGTCTCCCTTCTCCATGTTTACCCAGGAAGTCCCTATCACATTCAGATATAAGTCTAATAGCTACACCTCAAGAAAATCTTGGACTAGGTCCCCTCACACTATTTTAAAATTCTAAACAGCATATAGCCATTCTTTAAAATATATCGCCATTTCTAATTCCCATATATATTCTTTCAAATGGTATGCCTCCTCAGTAGATGACAGAATTTTGAGCTAGGAGCTACTTCTGAGTGCACTCACCACTGTAGCCACAAGTTTTCTCCATTCCCGTCCGGCCCCATGGTCCTGCAGCCACTTATAAAATAATCATTCAGAGGCTTAATATTATCTAAAAAACTGTATGGTCTATGGCAGGCCTCTTGCTAGCTAGCTCTTATAACTTAATCCATTTCTATTAATCTATGAGTTGCCACGTGGCTGTGGCTTACCAGTACTTTCATATCTTGCTTCTCCCCAGACCCTGCCTTTCTTTTTTCTGCCTTTCTCTTGGATTTCTGGCCTGGCTATAACCTGACTTGCCATAGGTCAGAGCAGCTTCTTTATTAACCAGTCATAGCAACACATATTAACAGTAAACAGAAAGACATCTCACAGTACACCATTTCACTGCAGAAGCCTAAAGCTTTGGCATGTGCAAAGCAGTCAATCTATACCTTTGTATAAAAAGGGATGAATAAATGAAAGTATGAATGTGTATTGTCAAATCTCTGGTCTCAGGAAAGTTATATAAAGGGTTTCATTGAAGCAGCACTTTAGTAAAGACATTTACTGCACTGCCATGCCCTATAATATTAAGCAATAATGCATTTTTATAGTAATTTGAATAGAGAAACTGAAAGAAAATGACATCACAATCTAGTATGATATGAAACATATGACCATGAAAAGTCTAGGACTTACTTAGATATGGAGATCACAAGAATAATTTAATTTCTTATGGATCATCATTTTAGCCCTAATTTTAAGCCGGATGATCATGAGATTCACTATGTTTTTGAAACTGCTAGGAAACTATCAGTACCCTTAAGTAGAAACTTATTAAATAATAATGGCACAGACGCACTTAGATGCGTATGATCCCCTGAAAAAGCTATGTGCCCCATAAGCATCCATCATTCAGGAAGGATGACATTGTTAGGTAGTTGAGCCGTGATAACCCTCAGGATCAAAAATACCAGTGGTGCATAAAGTACCTGTTTCTGGGACCATTTTGTATGTATTTCTGCTCTTTGAAAAACACCTCATCTCCCCTCCCACCCACCTTCAAAAAAGCCAAAAAAGGAAGGAAAAGGTTTACTTAGCATATTAAAAGAGACATGACTTGGAAATATGGTGTTTCTGTTCTTATCTAGGCTCTGCCACTAACCTGATCATGAAACACAACTTTTCAGGTGTTCTCTCTCCATCAGTACATAAATATGTAAGTAAATAAATAGGTAAATCTTATTAGGATGACAAAGAATTCATTCAAGAAAAATATTCTTGAATGAAATTCATAGACAAATTGTCCCAGGCATCTAGATGGGGAAGATAAAACCAAACCATTCCATTCTCACTTTATATTATCATCATATTTTTAGTTCTTATTTTTTATTTTGTTTTGTTGTTGTTGTTCAAACAGCCTAGCTGTTCTGGAACTTGCTTTGTAGACCAGACTTGCCTTGAACTCACAGAGATCCGCCTGCCTCTGCCTCCCTAGTGCTGGGATCAAAGGTGTGCGCCACCACTGCCTGACTGTTCTTAATTGTTTTACATAGAAGGTTACTACAATATATTGTACTTCCTAAATTAAGTGTAAAAGGAATTGAAAGGACTGGGGATGCCTTAACTCTGTGTTTAATATTTGCTTAACTGTAATCTTTCCTGCACAATTTCTGTAATGAATATTTATTTATTTTGTTTTTAAATTGGGTTTATAAAGAATGTGGTAATCAGTGTAAATACTGAGAGGAGACAGAGCTTTGTTTACACTTCATCTGAATAGAAATCATCTCCCCCAGTCGTCAAGGCATGATCGGTGTTGGGAGAGGCATCCACTCCAATTAATTATTCAATAGTCACTTGACACACATGAAATGGAGAAAATAAGCAAAGCCAAGCCAATGCTTCTGGGAAGACAGACTATGCCTTAATCATTCTATTTCCCATTTCTTTGATAATCACAAGAACCCAGTCTTTTGTTTTCATGCCATGACTAGTGGTGAGCTTTGCATTCTTTTTCAGCTCACATTTTCAAAATGAATCAATGCTCAGGACAATTCTGATGCATTTACTTTCTTGGGAAGATTTTTCATAGGCCTCGGATACCATACTGCTCCAATATTCATCCTGTTAATTCCAAATTATGCACCTTACAGAAAGAACTATGCATTTGCCAAAACAAAATGTATTTTGGAAACATCTAATTCTGTTTCTCTTTAACATTCCCCTTTTTTTCAAGCTTTCTCCAGTCTTAACTGTTCCTCATTATGCATGATCCTTGGATCCCTACATTAAAATGCATAGAAATATTTTTAAAATTCATTTAAAACACTCTCCCACACAGTACAAGCTGTCATTGTGTCATATTTGTTTCTTAATTTAAGAAAGGAAGTTATATTTCATTAAGTTGCCTTCTTTATCATTTAAAGTGGCATTAGGATGCTTAGAGAAGTATTTTCTCATAAAAATAATATTTGCCATTCCTTATTAATCAATACAAATGTATGCAACTTCAGGTTGTACTACTGAATTCATCTCATCTAGCTATCATATTCAGGATTTACAGTTCAGCTAGATTTGGTAGAGGAAAAAAATTGTTGTTTTATTTTTGTAAAACATGAAATCTGATCTTATGTTCACGGAAATTTACCAGTAGAGATGAAGTTCAGTATGGGACATGGGATACAGTCATCTCTAATTACTTAGACCAAAGAACCTAACACAAACCCATATGAAAACAAAGCACGGGTAATAACTCTTAAACACCCCACCACTGTTCCCATGAAAGCTACAGAACACTCCTGAATACCACTTTTCTTCCTCCTAACTAACTCTCTTTGCTGTTTAAGCAGTTACAAATTTCATCATGTCTGCCTTTCTTTAAAAGCCAAATGAGAGAGAGCTGCCAAGTCTAATAAGAATTACAAAGGCTGGCTCCTCGAAGCAGTATCAGCCAAAGGGGGGGGGGGATTTTTAAAGAAAAAAGAACAAAAACCCAAAGCCAGACATCACACAATAAAACACAGCCACACACAGAGCTTTTGGGCCCTGTCTTTCCAAATCAGATATAATTATAATAATTGACCTTTTCACATCAACCATACGTGCTATCTATCCATGCACTAACTGCCTTGATTTGACCCCAAGCTATATACCTAATGAAAACCAAGACACCTCTCTTGTTTAGCTTCTAATATATTCATGTTTCACCCTAGGCACATCACTCACCCCCTTTCTGTTTATAAGTTTCCCTGCATTTATATAAGAATAATTACCTTGGTCACTGTCATAAAAATAAATAAATAAATAACATAGAAGAGATACACAGAAAGCTGTGTTTTAGATGTAAAGGGGTGAAAATAAAGCTTAGCTGTACTTTGTTTTAAGCCCTGAGGACCACGGAAACAACTTGACTTCTGCTACTCACAAAAAATGTTATCAGCTGGATATCTATGGAAAAATCTCTTACCATCACTCACATGCATCTTGTTCAATAGCCTGGACAGTCTTCCCGATCCAGCAACATCTAAATTGCTCTAGTACTTTTGTTACCAAGCATTTGTTAAGCATGAAATACATTATCTCATCTCTAACATTCCTCACCATTAGCTGACCTGTCTCACACTTGAAGAAACCAAAGAAATCACAAAATTCAACTTGAATATGGCAAATCTGGGGATTGGGACATAACCATGGAAACCAATACTATTTTCCCAAAGCCTCCTGTTCATGAAGGAAATCTCTTTCCACAACCAGGGGCAGGTCTTGGATCTGCAACGTTACCCAGGGCCTAAGGACTGTCGAGTGTGCTCTGACCAGGAACCATGTGGACAGCTCTACCATGGATGGCCCAGGGCTGCTTACCCTGCACTTAATTTTCTCACCAAACACATGCTCAGTCTTCTAGACGCTTGTCAATACCTTACAGGCAAGGTCTGTGTACTATAGCTACTGGTGGTCCAGGACAGTACAGGGCCATGTAGGTGGGCAATGGCCATCGAACTACAGGAACCTGACAACCTTGGGCTGGGGTTTTAGGGAGGCCATTCTATTGGTCACTTGGAAGGAGGTAGACTTGCATGGACGGGGCCTCGGGAAGTGAGGGAGGCTTGCCCATTCCGAGGCTGCAAAGGGAGGAGCTATCTGCGGAGGGCAGCATGGCCTTGAGGGACAGGCCTTCACCGGGAGGCATCCCGAGGAGGAAGGCCCCATGCACCGGCCTCCCGCCCAGCCCAGGCCGAGGCTCCACGGGGGTCGGGCAGGCCTTACCTTGGCTGCAGTCCTTGCCGCGGAAGCCGGTCCTCGAGCAGTCGCACACGGCCTGGTCGTCGACCACCGAGCAGACGCCTCCGTTGAGGCACACGCCGCCCTCGCCCTCATCGCCCGCCTCGCACGGGCTCCCCCCGCCGCTGTTGGGCGGCTCGTCGTCCAGCTTGACCTCGCCGCTGTCCACGGGCAGCGCCTGCGACGAGTTGACCCTGACGTCGCGGATCCAGCCCTTGAAGGGCTCGCGCTCCCTCACCGAGGCCAGGGTGAGCTTGAGCGCCGCGGCCCGCAGTTCGGGGGGCAGCCCCCCGACGAAGAGCCCGCTGAAGACCGTCATGTCCCTGCGCTTGGACTTGACCTCCACCCACTTGGCCTCGGCCTGGTCGATGTAGAGCGTGGTGTTGCGGAACTGGCGGCGGATGCGCACGCTGTGCCACGCCCCGTCGTTGACCGGCGTGTCCGCCAGCAGCGTGGCCGGCTCGGCGCAGAAGATGGAGAAGCTGAGCTGCAGGCGCCCGCCGCGGGTCAGGATGAGCTCCAGGAAGTCGCAGAAGCCCTCGTCGTCGAAGTAGAGCACGAGGCCGCGGGCGCTGCGCGTCTTCAGCTGGAAGCTCATCTCGCTCTCGCAGCAGGCGTTCCACTTGGGGAAGCGCGTCCACTGACCCTCGGCACCCGGGAACTCCAGCCCGCTGCCCAGCTCGGCCCAGCAGCCCAGCAGCAGCAGCGACAGGCATAGGAGAAAGCAGCCCCCGCGCTGGACCAGCGCCGACCCCATGCTCGGGGCTGGGGTGCGGCGGGGGGGAGCCGGGGGCGACAGGGTCGAAACGGTCCTGGACACCGTCACGGAGAAATGGGGGTCCGTAGAGGAGTGGGAGGGAGGGGGCAGGTGGGCGTGGGAGGGGCGCACCCTCCTTTAGCTCTTTTTTTCTTCTTCTTCTCTTCCAGCAGCCCCTTCCTCGCTCCCAGTAGTCCCCTTCCAACTGGAAAGCAGAGACCCCAGTGGTACAGGGTAGCCACAGAACTTCCAGGCCAAAGGGAGGAGGCACTTTGGAGGCAACCTTCTGGAAATGATGGCCACCGAGGCTCAAAGATCACTGATCCATTTGCATCCAATGATGTCAAGTAAGAGCATCTGTAGCTCCAACAAACACTTCACTCTTCCAGGAACAACACCTGCGAGGTATCACCGCTGGTGCCCGCAGAAGGAAAGAGAGTCAGGAGGCAACTCGTACTTCTCAGGGACTGATGGGAAGCCAACAATGCGCCAGTATCTTTGGCTCTTGAGAAGCCTTGAGGACCCTCCAGATGTTGGCCCCAAGAACAAAGGAAGAACGAACACGAGGGACACCAGAACAGCTTCAGAGGCCTGCTTCTTCTGCAATATCACGGGCTTCCAGCACCACTGAAGTCAAGAACAGATTTCTTGTGCATGCCTTCCCGGGCTGATTTCACTTTATGTTGACCAGCCCTGTCAGTAAGACTCAAACCCTGTTGTGAAACAGCCAGAAGCTGTTAGATGGTGAAATCAAATCCCAACAGCTCTCCGATTTTCTCCCTCTGCAAGGCCACACTAAGATGCTTGCATGTCAATTGGTTGTATGTTGCTGATGCATTTTGATTTTATTGTCTTTTTATAAGGACCCAGAAATCTGTGGAAATTAAAATAAAAATTAAGACCTCTATTCAATTATAGTATTATGCAAATCATTACTCAACTAGGAAAGCGGGTATATGACCAATGATTTTATCAAACCAAAGAATTAATTTTGCTGGATACAGGTGTGTGTGTGTGTGTGTGTGTGTGTGTGTGTGTGTGTGTGTGTACACAGTAAGGCCAAATATTTCCTACTCTGTAATGTCACTCTCTTAACAGCAAGCTATTACAACCTTGAGTTTACCATATCTGTTCATTGGTGACCAGAATTTTAAGAACAATTTGGTTATGACGTTCTTTCCAATTGTCCAAAAAAGTTTTAATTTCTAAAATGTGTGAGGAGAGAAATGGAATGCCTTTTTAAAGGTTTTCTGCTTACACTGTGTGCTAGTTCCATGGAGAGGTGATACAACCTGTTCAAAGCCCAGTTAATGGCCAATTTTATAACAGGGAAAATACATCAAACTTTCAGCAGGAAGATGCTAGCTTACATTTGTATAGCATTCCTATGACTTGTCTCCCAGACAACAGGACTGTAGTGGTTTCTTGCGAGTCTCTTTAAAATTTCAAGCAAATATATTCCTCCTTTTTTTTTTTTTTTGATCAAATACATGATCTGTTATAATATAAAACATCTAACTGGAGCCAAATTTGGCAGTATTTATGTCCTTGCTGCCATCATATTAGCTATTTCAAAAATGGGTATTTAATATTCTGCCTAACAGTCTGGTGATCTGACTCCTCCTCAAGTCTTTATCTGGCTGTCAGCCATTAGGACTTGTGTGGTCAGAACGGCAGTTGGCATGTATGTCACCTCGGCTGTTATGGCTCCAGGATGCTCGAATTTAAAGCCATACCTTTGAATCAATCACGGTGCTCTTGAATCACTTCTTTTTATTTAACTCTCACTGACAGGCTTTTGAAATGGTACAGAAACCATAAATCTTGAAGGAGGGGCTATGAATTTTTTAAACCAAATAACTCACATTTTGAGAAAAAAATTAAAATGTATCATTTGGTCATTCCAATGGAACATATCACCCTCACCATGTCTCACTATCTCCTACACACACACACACACACACACACACACACACACACACACTGCTCCAAATTTACTGCTTGGACACAGAGCTCACTATCTAATTAACACTTTTCCCCCCTACAAGCTGAAACTAGCAGTAATTGATGGCACTGCATTGTGGCTGCTCCTCTGTGGAGGGAGCTGAAAGCATTTCTCTTCAGTTCAGAGCGATCCCTACAGGTGTCAGCTGAGAGCCATCAAGCTAGGGGATCCCACTTCAAGTTCCTCCCCAGATGAAATTGATGATAGGTTCTCTTCTTTCAACATAGACACACCACACACAACACAGACACACAGACACACACACCTCACAGATATAATGCACTCATACACTTCTCCTTATCAAATGGTAATAAAAATCTCAGTTGCCTATTTATTATGGCTGATACATTCCTCATCCTCAGCTATTAGAAGTCATATCTCTCCTACTCCTGTGCCAAACCCAAAGAAAGGTGCTTTTAAAAATGATCAATAATAGCATATTATTCAGTATACTTTCATGTTTAAGTAGGATGTGGAATATGGTAAATGTTCAGTATTTAGCAAAATTAATCTGAAATATCACAAGAGTAGTGCTTCGAGGCCATTCTCAGCTTGTTTCTGTCTCTATGTCTGTCTCTCTGTCTATCTGTATCTCCTTTGGTCTCTATTTCTGACTCTGTGGGGGAGAGAGAGAGAGAAAGAGAGAGAGAGAGAGAGAGAGAGAGAGAGAGAGAGAGGGTAGAGACAAATTGGGTAACTGACAGTTGGAGCTTATTATTGTATAATTTTACATATATCACATAACCTTTTTGCACCCTGTCCCCTGCCCTCCTCATCTGAGGCACACCTTGACCATTTTGGAAAGGATGTAGAGAAGGAGGAGAAAACCTGGAAGAATGTATATATGTTTGTGTGTGTGTGTATATATATATACACATATATATGTATGTATATATATTCTTATGTATGTATTTGTATATATATTCTTATCACAGGGGAGGTCAACTGGCTTTCTCAGTTCCTAGAGGAAGCTCATTGTGTGAAAGACAGTATCTTTATTTATATGGAAAAAGAGGATTCTCTCTCGGTGCCCAGAAAAGACCTGGAGAGTTCACAAATTAGAAGATGAAATAAAGGGATCTGAAAAACAACCATACTGCAGCCAAAACAAGAAGCGCTCTAATTCAAAAGCTGCCTAACAGCCTCATTAATCTTTTCTCTCGTTTCTAGAACAAAATTCATTCCCAAGTCACTGGAAGGATCAATACAGTATGCTGATCGGCTGCAGTTGCATTTATTTTATCATGTTTTCAGTGACACACATGCACGCACATACACACACACACACACACACACACACACACACACACACCCCTTACCATAAAACCTTTCAATATATATCCCTATAAGGAATCTGAAATCTATGAGAGAAATATTACAAGTTTTATCTTTTTGGCTCTGGCTTTTGCAAAGTACCTCAATACCAATGCACACCCAAAATTCTCCCTGGCTTTCCCGCCCAGTCTCTAAGCACCATCCCTAACACCAGTGCAGTTTCTTGGAGCCTGAAGTCTATTGCACAAATTAAGGATGGGCACAGTCAGGAATGATGGGGAAGGAAGAGAAAGAAAGAGATATAGATATGTTTTATTTTATTGTTTTGCTTTCTAACTGCCTTTCCCTTTTCTTTCTTTGGATAACAAATCACTGCATTTAGCCTTTAAGTTACTACCTAGTTCCACCATCTCATCTTCTTGCCATTTGAAAGGCTACACGCAAAACAAGCAAAATCTACACTCCTCCACCCTCCCACCACCCATCCTTCCCTCTGTATTTGTGGCAGATCCTGGCCCACTTACGACAGGGAAAGATACCCTTCTCCAGCTTGCCTCGCCCCATCCCCTCCCCCAGCCCAAATTGAGCTCCTTTACCTGCCTGGTTATTCCCCTTAGCTCCAGCCAGAGCTTGAAGCATGCATCGGTCAAAGCGAATTTCCTGAGGTCTAAGGATAAGGCGACTGCTGCTGCCTTTTTCCGAGGCGTCAGGCTTGAGCGTCTATCTCCAAGAGTGCGGAAGGGAAGAACATGCAACGGAGGGGAGCAGCAGGGGGAGCAGGAGGAGGAGGAGAGGGAAAAGGGGAAGGAAGAGGCGGTGGTGAAGCCCGAGAAGGCTGGGTTACGTGACGCCGGGTGCTGTCCTTCTGAAAGAGAAGGGCGGAGCTGAGCTCTCCGCAGTACCATGGAGAGCGGCCGGCCGGTCCTCTGGCTAGGGAACCGGTGGCCTCAGATGGCAGCCGCAGCCCCTTCCAAGTTCAGATGCTGAGAAGCAAGGTGCTTCTACCTTTGCATCGTCCCCTCGCAGGGGGAATCTGGGGGCGGAGACTTGCCACAAGCACTTCTAACTAGTCACTCGCCACCCTCCCTTCCGAGAGAGAGAGAGAGAGAGAGAGAGAGAGAGAGAGAGAGAGAGAGAGAGAGAGAGAGAGAGAGAAACCAGAGTCACGTAGCCTACTGAGCATGCCCAGGCCCCTGCTAGACCCACGAAAATCTTGTGGAGATTCCACTTCTCCGGGATTTAGTCATGATTGGGCGGGGGTACCTGAGAAGATGCCAGGAAAGGACTCGGCAGCTAAAGGGAAGGAACAGAAACCGAGGAGCTGGTGACTAAGACGAGCTCCGGCTCAAGGTGTGCACCTGGATCTCCAGTTCTGAACCCTTGCAAAACTAGACCCTCTTTGAGGAATGCAGAGGCAGGCGGGACTCAACACCCGCACTGGCTCCCTACTGTACTCAGTGTTCTGCCCCACCCCTTTCTGTAGCCCTGGACTGAGCCATCTGCCTATGCTGTGATAAAAGGACATTAGAGAGACCCACCAGACTATCGCTCCAAGTTGGAGACCAGACTCATGCATCTGACAAGGTGCTTTCCTGGCAGTTTCTCCATCCTCCAGCTTTCCATTCCCTGCCTCCGCTTTGGGCATCCTGAGCTGAACCAAGTTCTCTACCTATTTAACTCTTCCCTCCAGCTCTTCCTTCCTTTAGCCTCTAGTAAAACCTGGAAAAAGTGCAGCGCAGTGTGAGCCTTTCTCACTGTGTAATTGGGCATGCCCAGTAGGCATTTCTGTATCTGGTGAGGAAGGAGTTAACTCTAAGCGAGCTCGCAGACAAAGTGGATAGAAGTCTGGAGTCTGTGGCTTTAAATTATGCGTTCAGTCCTTTGGACATTTAAATTCCTATCCCCGTTATATTTCTACCACAGGTTAGTTTTAGAGTAGAAATACCAGATGTTTTTATTTCAACATCACAGACTTGATAGCCTTAGCCTCAAATGCTGAGGTAAGAGTATTTTCTGCCTTCAGGCTCTTTAAAGGAAGAATGCAAGAGCTAGGCAAATTCAGGAGCCTTGAGATTTCCAAATGCAAGATTCTTTTCCATCCAAAGAAACCAGAATTATCTCCTAACAATGAGCATATTTACACTTCTCCTATTTTTGCTCAAATGTATAAGAAAAATCTGAATACAGAAACCTCAGGTTTATGTCTATTTTTAATGCCCTTTAGAAAAAGCAGTTTCATCTAGTGATGACATGTATAGAAAATAGAATCAGATTGGCTGGGTGTGAGTTCCATGTCTGACATTTACTAGCTGTGACCTTGGCATGACACTTAGCCATGTGATACCCTCTTCATCATCGTTGTCGCCTAGTCTATAAGATGGGTACAATCAACGTCTCCACTTAATGTACATGAATACATGAATACAAAAATATTCTGAATTCTGCTTTAAGCCACTGCTAGCTGTTTTGATGAGTAACTCCAACCCAACACTATTCTGTCTGACACAGTGACAAGCACTCTGAAAGCTAAGACTTTATTATAAAATAGTGATGGCCAGCTTGTTCTTCAAAATTGCTTAAGTGTATTTAAGTCAGAAATGAAATCTTAAAAGTATAGCTAAGTCTCAGAAAAGTTGTTATTAAAGTTATGATATTTGTAAGTGGACATGAAATTGTGTTTAGCTTGACTCAGGGACTTTTCATGGTCTCCTGCTATTTACTGATAGCGCATGGGAGCAAGTGGCATAAACAACACACCAAAATTGGAGTGGGCCAGAATCACTGACCCAGAAATGGAATGGATACCATATATTAAAAATCTAATTCAGACAGTACTCACGATACTCTCAAGATCTATGAACATTCTTCAGTGAAAATTGTGGTCCAACAACAGATTTCCAAGAAGTACACTGAAGATAGACAGGCAAACATGTCTGCATTTCACTTGAAGTCTTGAGAAAGATTATTTGTCCTCAAAGTGTCTATGATCTGAATAACTGCACAGTCTACTTCAATTTTATTATGCAAATTTAATTTATTTGTTTACTTATTTTCATTGTAATGGGGTCAGAACCAAGGGCCTCATAGGTCCCAGGCAAGTGGTTTTCCACAAAACTATATCCAAGTCCTCTTTTAACTTTTTGAGTTAGAGTCTCACTATGTTGCACAGGCTGACACTGAATCACTAGAATTCACAATCCTCCTACTTCAATCTCTTGGATAATCAGCATTACAGACCTAGGCCATTGGGTCTGTATATTTTTGTTTTGTTTTTTGGTTTTTCAAGACAGAGTTTCTCTGTGTAGCTTTGTGCCTTTCCTGGAACTCACTTGGTAGCCCAGACTGGCCTCGAACTCACAGAGATCCACCTGCCTCTGCCTCCCGAGTGCTGGGATTAAAGGCGTGCGCCGCCACCACTGCCCGGCCGGGTCTGTATATTTTGATTTTATCTTAAATATAACAGTACTTCTATGGAGTCATGGTTTTCCTCCATCTGGTTTCTGTGGTTCTCTGGTGGAAAACAAACGTTAAAATCAATTAACATTTTTATGTTTTATTATAGATTTTAAAACAAGAAGTTATTAGTACATACACTCTCCCTAAATACAAGATATATATATATATATATATATATATATATATATATGAACAAGACTATGTGTAACAATAAATCCCCTTTGAAGTTTTCAGATATAAAATGCTGACTGTTAGGCTTGCAGACAGCTTTATTTCTAGCACTCAGGAGACATCTCTGTGGATCTCTGTGAGTTCAAGGCCAGCCTGCTCTACATAGCTCCAAGACAGCTAGGGTTACATAGTGAGAGACTATCTCAAAAAAAAAACAAAAAAAAAAAAACCCACAAAAAAAACAAAACAAAACAAAACAAATAAACATTGTCTGCCTTAACCAGACATAGTGGTACATACATGTAATCATAGTTACTGGAGAGACAGAGGCAGAAGCATTGCAAGTTTTAGTCCATCTTGGACAACTTAACAAGACTCTGAATCAAAACAAAATTAAAAATGGCTGATGATGTAATTAGTAGTAGAGCATTTACCAAACATACCCAAAGCCCTGTGTTTAGCACCTCCCCCAGTACCACAGTAATACATTAATACATAAATACATAAATATCTACTGTGTCTCATGTAACACAGAACAAATGTTTCTTGTTTTTCCCCTCTCATAAATATATAGAAGAGAAACGATCAACATCTACTTAAAAATGAAAGAAGACTCACAGTACAGTTTAGTGATAAACATTAATTTACTCTAAAGTTTTTTTTTTTTTTTTTTACTATAATTTACCCTAAAACCATATTTATACTGGTTTGGTTTTTTGCTTGTTGTTCTGTTTTGTTTGTTTGTTTGTTTGATCTATGCGTGTGAGTTTCCTCACAGGTAACACGAGGATGGAAGTGCCCTGCTTTATAAGACAGAGTAATGACTCTGCCTTGTTCAGTGGCAGTTGTGGTTTTGCTCTGTGCCAGCCATGGCCGTCAAACTGCATACATTTAGTTAATTCTTGTATCAACCCTGCCAGACTGAGAGCTGTCCTCTCATTTTACCAGTGACAAAAATGAAGCAGAGACCTTATCCAGTGCAGTCAAATACACAAAGCTAGTGTGATCAACAATAAAAAATACAGGACTGCCCCTGACTGCCTTGATTCTTCACCTCTCAGCAAATGATATGATGCAAACAGCTTAGTGGTAGACAAAAAAACATTTTTTATAAGAATTTCACTTCAAAATCTAGGAAAGAAAACAGTCGAATTAGGAATTTCATAATGTCATTGTTAATGACTGTATTGTTAGATATTTTTGTTATTGGTTGGCTTTGGTTTTTGTTTGGTTTGGTTTTTTGGTGACTTGATACAAACTAGAGTCATCTGGGAAGAGGGAACCACAATTGAAAAAATGGACCCATCAGATTAGCCTACAGATTAGACTGAGGGCAAGCTATGTGGTATTTTCTTGATTAACATTTGATGTGGGGGCCCAATCTAAAGTGGACAGTGCAACCCAATGTAGGTGGTCCTGGGATGTACAAGGAAGCAGGCTTAGTAAGCCATGGATAGCAATCAAGTAAGCAGCACTCCTCTGGGGCCTTTTCTTCAATTCTTGCCTCCAGGTTCCTGCCTTGAATTCCTGCCTGGACTTCTCTTAGCGATGGACTCTGACCTGGAAGGATAACAGAAATAAACTGAAGTTGATTTAACCATGGTGTGTTTTGGCAGCAATAGAAACTGTAACTAAGACAAATGCTGTATGTTTCATTTATTTAATTATGCTAAACCCTATGGGTGAGGAGTTTTCATGGTGCTATTATTTCTTTTATGTGAAAAATATGCAAGGTAATTGTTTTAGATCTAAATTTGAGGTAATTTAACATTTGTCCAAACAACCTAGTACTTTTCTAGAAGGTTAGAACTAGGATTAATTTCTTCCAAATCACTTTAGGGAATCTACCAATGTTACCTCTGACATTAACGTATAAAGGATTTTAATTCCAGCCCCCTTCACCGCTCAGAACAAATGAGATAATTGTGAAATCAAAATGACTGTTTATAATTATGACTGATTGGGAGAATTTATGGCAACTCAGATATGGAAACATAAATATAATATCTCACATCTCACACTGGTAAACACTTTACAACAATAAAAATGCATGATCCCCCCAAACAAATACATTTCTATACATTATTAAATATTAATGGGTACACTAACTTGAAAACTCACTCTACACTAAAAATAAAACTAAGTGGTACGATTTTTTGACTGAGAAACGAAGGCAGTAGGAGAAGCTGTGTTTATTGCTGCAATCATAGCTTGTGCTTTAACATTAGGAAATCAGTGTAAACACGTACTTTCTTAATTAGCATAGCAGCAAAGTAGAAGCTTTGAGACCCACAAATGCCAAGATGGAGATCAACTTAGAAAGGGGCTTTACCCTTACTAAATATATGATATAAACTATGAAGGGAAATAGCACATATTGTATATTAAATACCCTTTCACTTAACAAGGG